GAACCGGTGACAAAGGGCAGCCCTGCCGGAGTCCAACATGCACCAGAAAAAAAGTCCGACTTACTGCCGGCAATGCGAACCAAGCTCCTGCTCTGGTCGTACAGGGACCGGACAGCCTTTAACAAAGAGCCCTCAACCCATACTCCCAGAGCACCCCCCATAAATTTAATTATATGTTCATTATTGAGGTCATAATTAATGATGGTGTTTTACTGGACTACATTATATTCAAAGGTGTTCCTAATATTCTGACCCTCTCATGTACTGTATGTCAGTGGGCAGGACAAAAATATACAGACACCTTTGATCTACTTTCGCAAGGCACTGTATGTATACACAATTGTGTACCATTGGTTATTACACATACAAATCTGTTCACTGAAGGCGTTAGAAAGAAAATTACTTCTTAAGCATGTAAGTTCAACTCTGTCATCTGTGTTTTAATTTTGTAATTGCAAAGTCATTTTGTTTAAGTACATGCCTTGCTGCTGACAGACTAGCAAGACGTCTGCTACCTCTTCATTATCATCCACACTACTATCAAGGGCACCATGAGCACCTTCTATACACACTGTAAAACACACTTTCTCGCTATGATGGCATGCAGTAGGGGTGCACCGAAATTTCGACCTAATGTTATGCCTGATCGGTGTATAATACCAATCATATAATCAAACAGTTATTGGATCTTATTGGGAGCTACTCAGAATAGACACACAGGTGGGAACTGAGTGATTTCCTTTTTTTCAGGGTCATGCTGACAAGCCCCACAAGGTAATTTCCATATGGTAATGTAAACTACAGAATCTTCTCTTTACTCTCTAGCGAGCAGGACACCCTGCCAACCCGATCCAAGAAATTATTGGATCTAAAGATGGTTTGTCAGTTTGAAAAGGACTCAGGACCACAGATAAATATGGTTACATAATTATTCAGTGAAGTGTTTTGTATTCATTGTATTTGCTATCAAAGCCCCAGAGTATACTACGCACTACAACAAAACACAGCTGCAGCTGATTTCGCTGCCTAAATGTTGCTCTGTGGCAGAAGGTACTTTGTGTAATTGAGTACCAGAACCCTCTATCAATGAAGAAACATTTTAAGATTGAATTAAAACTCAGCTCAAACCAGTTCATTTTTTTAAAACTCTGCCTTTCAAATATACTTGAGTATCTCAGTTTAACACTAATGAAAAATGATTGTTTTTCAGTAATTTCATGTATTTGTTAGGTGTTGTGTCATGACCTGCTGTTATTTGGTGAAGTGGTGCTGTTAGTGTAGTAAAACGAACACTATTTAGGCCAGCTGAATTAAAGTCTGATGAAGCCTATTCACTGAAGTTGATACAATATGGTATGACAAAATTAAACAAAATGATAATCATTTGGCGTTTTGAGTTTGTTTTAATGAAATGATGCAGCAGGCATGTCTAAGTAAAGGCAATATAAAAATAACACTAACTAAAGCTATGCTTAATAAGTGATGAAAAGCTGGCATGTGAAGTTGTCCAGTTTTTAATATTTACGGCAGAAATCATTATCTCCTTCATGGTTTCAAAAGACTATCCTAAGCAGCCCTAAATTTGAATTACAGACCTCAAATTGACTATCACGTCAGACATATCTACAACTGTTCCACCTCCAATGCCAAAGACCACTCATACACAAGATATATTGTCAGAAATGTATTAAATTAATCACTTTGATTACTTTAACAAGCACAATTTACAGTCAAAAACAAGCATGGTCCATTAGTGCCTTAGACAAGCAAGTAATTAATACATCAGTAATTTGTAACATGAAGACAGGATTCTTTAAAACTGCAATTAAGTTATGTCACCTTTAATATCAGATGTGTGGCATTGAGCTGTACAAGACTGTGCGTTATGTCCCTCATAATTTCAGACAGGCATGAGGAAAAGTCTGGCATGTTATTCATCGACACTGCCCCAGAGAGGTGTGTGTGTACAACTAACATGTCTTTACAGAAATAGACACGCAAGTTTACATCTGCCCCACAGATCAATATGTTTGAGCACAAGTTAGAAATAGCTCTTTTTGCTGGCTTTTCAGATCCTGGGAGAACAAGGATCAATCCCTTGGCAAGAGACACCAAAAATCAGGGCTGTGTTGTTAAATGTCACAGTATTTCTTTAACCTGTAAAAGAGTTTGTGCATTTTAAATCAGATCAACCTCTCTGTCAGAGGCAAGGAGTGCATTAAGTCATAGGCAGCGTCTCTGCATTTGAGCTATAGCTTAGCGTAGACAGAATATGCCACCACAATTCCTTCGAGCCTTTTGAGTAAATGAAAACCACAAGTGGCAATCACAACACATATAGCCCATGTAGCGTTAAAAAACATTAATATATTAACAGGAAAACGCTGTTAGGTGGGCCACAGCGTAATACCCGGACACAACACACAGAAGATGGAGCTTTAAATAAGCCCCACAAATATTTGAACCCAATAAATAAAAAAGCATCAATGTGAATGGCAATAAAGAAATAGGTAACATAACTGTCATTGAGGCAATTATTATTTTAAACACTTCAAAATCATCTACAGACAAATGTGTGAGTGTTTAACAGATACAGGATTTACACAACTGTCAACATGTAAGCAAAGGGAGAACATGACTGTAATTAATTGTACATTTTGTAAACTGGATTGGAGTTAGGAAATAAACCCCTCTAAACATGTTGGAGGGTCCCATCTCCAGAGTCGTCCATTTTGTTGCATAATGTGATTTGAGTGTAAGCTGGAGCTTTTTTTAGCCAATATTTTTTGTCCATCAGAGGGAGGAGCAACAGTAAGAAGATGACCTTCCAGATAAAATTTTTGATAGTTGAGGAATCAAACCAATTGTTTCTCATTTCTAGAGGTAAAAGTCAAATTTCTGGAAGAAACGATGGATACTACATTTTCCAAAGTGGCTGGAATGTTGACCACATTTAGCCCCTTGTCTGCTGAAAAACCACACTGACCGCTCTGCCCACATAGTGAAAGCAGAGGCTAAGCTGTGTGCCATACATAACAGGACAAGCGGTTGAGGGTAGTTATGCACTGTAATTGACCATGGAGAAATTCTTCATGGCACTATCCAGTGTCACACCGGCCTCCTGCATTTCGTACCTGTGGGCAACACCAAACATGATAATCAGCTATCTGTAAATGTAGCATATTCTTACTACATTCAGTATATTATAGGTGGCAGACCTTCACGTGCCAATCATTCCATACTCACCAGTCAGAGGTGGAGACAGTATAGTAGATGGGCAGCTGGGGAAAGCTCAACTCTTCCATTCCACATGCTCCCATGCTGGAAAAAAGAAGCCAGTCTCCCACACTGAGCTCAGGCAACAGGCAGCGCTCCACCACTTGGTCCAGATGGTCCAGTGATGGGCCCCACAGGCTGCTGGGATATACTGCCTTCTCTGTGCACAGCACGTGCTGCAGAAAACAGTCAAGCAAAATATGCAGCAATTAAGAAAGTAGCTCATTGCTCTTCCCTAACTGAGAAAGACATCTGGTCACAGTTTGACAGCTCAACCACACATGTAAAATGATGCTCTGAACTGAATGATTATGAATAGGGCTCACTGTCTTGGGTGGAGGCCTACTAACCTTGTGCACTGAAGGGGCAGAGATGGTGTTTCCCAGCAGTTTGCGGCTGAATGGGCCATAAACACCCTCATTCATGTAGTACTGGAACTCTCTATCTTCATTGTTTTCACCTGTGAAAATACAGTGGATGCCCAAGTCAGAAATGTAGAACATTATCTACAAACTGTGGTCTCTAGAGTGGGGCTTAACCTAGGATAGTTTTGTAGGATTATGCGACAGTCATGAGGAAACAATTTGTGAAAGAAAATGAAAACAGAAATCTGTCCTTTCTAAGACAGCAAACATTCATCCCTGCATATTCACAAACAAATGTGTTACAGATTTAACTGGACTTGAGATGACAACTTCCAATAATAAAGTAACTCACCTTCATCTAGGCCATCCCAGTGGCAGGTCACCACATTTTTCCCAATCACACTAACAGCCAGGCTAAAAGCTGAGGCCACATAGAAGCTGCCAGGCTGGGCTAACACTTGCACATCAGATTGTGGGGGGAAGTAAGCATCCAGCAGCGGCCTGACTGCGGATTCAACCTGCACAAAACAAATGTGCTATTACAAGGTGTTTTCTAAAGAGCAACTTTGTTTTTAAAGCTGAAATCCCTAACTTTCCATATGTTGCTAGTGATGGGTGACTGACACAGCTGTCTTCTACTTGCCTGTTTGAGCTGAAACTCTGAGCCAGTAAATCCACTACCGATGTCCAGGATGTTCATGTTGAAGCCCAGATCCAGCTGAACAGAAAACAGTGAACACTGAGTTATTACCAGTAGTTAAAAACAAATACTAAGAATTTAAACAGGCATTTGAGGTTCCAAAAACATCTTTCTAGTTGACCTATAGTTACAAAATCGCTGCCAATTTAAAAATGTTATAATTGAAGATTGCAGATAATACTCACCCCCATGTCAAACACACAGCGGGCATCTGACAGTGCACGGTTGTAGGCCTGCTGCGGGTCTTGGCAGGAGCTGGGGATGTGGAAAGTCACCCCCACCACCTGGACTCCCAGCTCCTTGGCTGCTTCCAGCAGGTGCCGACAGCTCTTTAGAGAGGAGCCAAAGGCCATGCTAGTCTCAGCCGCATGAGACTCGGTGGTCAACTGCAGCAACAACCTAGAAGAAGCAAAAACTTATCAGCCAGTGATTAACACATGAATCATACATTCGTCCAGAACAGTTAACAATAATTCTGATGTCAACAAAGGCTTTCCTTGCAGTTTTACAGACGTGCATGTGGACTAAAAGTAACAAAGGAAAAATGCACTTCAATCACTTACTTTGCACTGTGGTGCAGGCGGGAAATCTTGGACAACTCTGCTTCATTCTCACACACAAGATGCTGGATGTTGTTCTTGGCAGCATGCTTGATGTGTGCCAACTGCTTGCAAACACCTGATAAAATGATGTTTTCTGGTGGTACGCCAAGCTCCAGCACCAGACTCACTTCAGTCTGGGGGGAAAGAGGGCACAGGTTACAGAAATCAGCACAACAAAGCCTAAAAGTTAGATCAACACAATGAAAAAGGTACTAAGTGTGTTGTGTAAGTTGAGGATAACTGTCATCAGCTAACAGTAATCAAGCGAGTGCTTGTGATGGAATGGCTATAAAATCTCAAGTGCTGTCATAAGAAAATGAGGCACTGATTAGTTTAAATAACACGTACAAACAATTCTAAGGCACCAGAATTAGATTCTGTGAAGCCTTAAACTTACCTTGTTGGTGCAAACAAAGCCCAGGCCCAAGGAGGCCAGCAGTTCGATGACCGCAGGGCTGCTGTTGCACTTGACTGGGTAGTAGGGCTGCAGCTGTGGCATTACGTTCTGCCAGCACACATGCTGCTGCATCAGGGCACCGAGATCGCCCACCAAAAACGCACTCTTTTCCACCTGGGAACATAAGAGGAAGCAGCTGCTCAAACCATCTAAACTTACACTGAACACAAATCAAATCTTAATGTCTAAGGAATTTATTGAAACCAACACAAATTCTGTCTAAAACAATCAACAGGGACAACATACGTACAGTACATGAGATTATAAATCTAACAACTGTCAAACTGAAAGCTATTTGAAGCAGTTGGCAAATTTGTTCCATTGCAACCTGATATTAAAAGCCCTGCAAGCTGAACTAACCAGAGCCTGCTCGCAGATGTGCCCATCAATGACATCTTCAAGGGTCACTCCTCCCTCCAGGAGTTCAATGATGTAGCTGGGTTTGTCAGTGAGTCCTTTCATCTCAACCGTATTCCGCTAAGCCGACAATCATAAAGTACAGATAAACAAGTCAAGGGGTCACGACTGAGCCAATGGGTCCTGCCGGTATGCAACAAACTGGAAAAAGAAAGACAGAGAGAAAGACACACACAGAAATAGAAAACACAACTTAATCACCACAATATATTTTACATTCATTACATCACACAAATTAAATAACAGAAATAATGCTGTTTCACTTCCTTCCTAGATGCAGTTGCACAGTTCAAAAATCAACACATATGAATGTGGACATGCATACTGTTATCAGTGTTTTATGGCCCCAAGGCTTAACACAAAGTATTTATCTTGCTTCAGTCACATTCACACTGAATTATTCTACCCAACATTTTTTTCAGATATAATTAGTAAATATGCAAACTCCAGACAGCTCACTGAACTTTTATTTAAATCTATCAACTTCCTATTAACCTTAAAAATCATTTTAAATCCAATAAAAGTGTTTACACCCAAATGAGTTTTTATGCCAAGGTACATCCAGAGCACAGTCACCTTGGACTTTGCTACAGATGTAGGAGGTTGGGGGATACGTGAGCATGCATATTTGTTTGTAAAACAGACACTGTGTAACTCACATGGACAAGTCAGGAGATGGACCTGTCCCGCTATCAGCTAGGATCCCAAGGTGGCTCAGCGTTGAAATCAAAGTGCTCCCGGTAAAGAGCGGCCCCTAGGCCCTCTGGGTAGCACTCATACACCTGTGCAGAGACAGGGGAGCCCTGGGGAACAAACACATAATATTAGATATGAAAACACATGAAAAACAACGTAAAAGAAAGACTTGCACATGCTTATCATGACAGTGTATCATTAGCTAGGCATCCCAATTATTATAATTTTTATCTCATTACAACGTATATGTCTGTTATCTGTGGACTCACATTAATTGTCACTGTGGTCAGAATTTCACTGACAAAATGTATTTGCATTATTATATTTCAGCTGCTTGCTTTTAACATTAGTTCACAGTGTGGGATAACGGTCTTGAAAATGCGCATGCGCTGTGGTGCAAATAGTGTCAACTTGACAAATGAGATATTGCAGTGCGTCCCCAAAACAAACCATGAAGCCCTAACCAAACCACACAAATGTGATTAACTGCTACATTTAACACATAACTATGCAGCATATTAAACAGTGGATAGGCGCAGCTGAGAGGTTCTTCGCTACCAGAAAGCGGCTAATGTTGAGCTGGCTGCCGACCGCAAGTCGAGAGAAGCAGCGTACTGTATTTTGTTAATAAACCCCATCAAATCCCAAAGCCAATACAGTATACGAACAGTATAAACTAGTCTGAGGTGTTAATATCACTTCATAATTTAACAATATCCTAACATTTAGCATTAAGACAAATCAAAAACACAAAATTCAACGAATCGGTCTTGTCATGTGTGCCGAAAAGGCAGAAAGACTAGCCCGCCATTACGTTCGTTGAACCCATGGAACTCAACCAAAGTATTTCGCTTTACTTACGTGAGATAACGGCCAGAATGTTTTGGAAAATCGTCTTCTCTTTTTCGGCGGAATTTTTAAAGAGTAGTGGGGACAATCATATAAGAAAGAAAGAGGGCTGTTTTTGCCATATGGCTAGAAGACAGACAAGCGTCGGCCGTACAGCTTCTTCTATGTCGGCTGGTGGGTGGAGAACTACTGGAACTGAACAGGGGAAATGGAATAGGTAATCAACGGAACGGGGCGTGGCCTGGAGTTCAGTTCCAGCAATGAGCTCTCTGAATTTTTGAGCATACCAAATATGTATTTCCGGATATTATACAGCCCGCAATAGAGCTGTGATGTTTATTCAAGTTACATAAAAATAAATTTTAGATAGCTATTCTTTTCATTTATTAAAGCCCTCTGCTACTCGTGTTCATGGGGCAATTCGGATACACTCTTTGTTGTACAATTCCACCTGCTAGAATTTATGCATAGTATATATAGAGTGTTGCAAAAACACAAATTTGACATAATACACTTACACTTTAAAAACCATATATTCTAAGCATAATGGTAAACAAAAGTTTAAATAACATGTTCTTAAAAGCCACCATCAGTGTAATTAACTATCAGTAACACTGCAAAAGTCCTGCCTAGCCTCCTTATTACAAGAAATTAAAAACTGTCATATAAAAAAACTAGTTATTTACATTTTAATTTTATTTTTTATTTTAAAAAAAGTGTATAAAACAATGATGAAAGCCCTAAGGTAATCTTTTGCATGCATGTCACACAAATTAAAACCAATTTGCTGAAAAAAATAACATGACTAAACCAGTCTTTGAACATCTTCATGACATTTGTTAAGGATATAAATAATTTTATTGTTTAATATTTTTTCCAATTGTGTCTGAGAATGCCTTATGCATGGCCTTATTTTAAGTCCTCCTTCCTCTATGATAACATGGCCTAATGTACACCTAAAGTTCAGGTGACGCACACACAGGTCCTGAAGGCTCTGAAACAGGTAAACCCCCATAAGGCAGTGAGACCAGACGGTGTCCCCCCTAGAGTGTTGAGAGCCTGTGGGGAACAACTAGCTAGTGTGTATACAAACATCTTCATCCTGTCTTTAACCCAAGCAGTAGTTCCTTGCATTTTCAAAAAAGCCATTATCATACCGGTCCCTAAGACATCAGACACATCCACTCTGAATGACTTCAGGCCAGTGGCACTCACATCAGTTGCCATGATGACGCTATTATCTACATGCTGCATCAAGCCCTATCCCACCTGGAGTCGCCCTGAAGTATTGGGAGGATCATGTTCTTTGACTTCTCCAGTCCTTTCAATACAATCCAGCCATCACTGCTGATGGGGAATGTGACGGGGCCAGGTGTGGACCAACACCTGTCTGTATGCATCATTAATTACCTCACAGAGAGACCTCAGTTCGTATGGCTGTGCGTCTGTGCGTCGGACATGGTAGTCTGCAGCACGGGGGCACCCCAGGGGACGGTGCCTTCCCCCTTTCTGTTCACCCTCTACACATCGGACTTCAAGTACAACTCCCACCACTGTCATCTACAAAAGTTCTCGGACGACACCGCCAATGTTGGATGTGTATCTGGGGGGGATGAGTGGGAATATAGGGGGGTTGTTTCTGACCTTGTCGAGTGGTGTGAGAAAAATCACCTGGTCCTGAACACCAGCAACACAAAAGAGATGGTGATTGACCCCTGGCAGAAATCACCAGCACTCACGCCGGTGAGCTTGCAGGGCTCAGATATTGAGATTGTGGACACCTTTAAATACCTGGGTGTCCACCTCAACAATAAACTGGATTGGACCAATAACACAGATGCCCTGTACAGGAGGGTCCTTTGGTGTGCGGAGGGCACTCCTTCAGACATTTTATGATTTTGTGGTGGCATCTGCAGTTTTTTATGCTGTTGTGGGTTGGGCAGGAGGTAGCACGGACATGAACAGACGGACATGAACAGAAAGACATAAACAAGCTGGTTAAGAGAGCTGGTTCTGTCCTGGGCTGCCCTCTGGACTCCATCGAGGAGGTGGCAGACAGAAGGATGCTGGTAAAACTAACATCCATCATGCATAACCCCTCCCATCCCCTGTACCATACAGTAGAGGCTCTGAACAGTTCTTTCAGCACAAGACTGCTACATCCCCAGTGCAAGAAGGCAGTGGGTTGGGCAGGAGGTAGCACGGACATGAACAGACGGACATGAACAGAAAGACATAAACAAGCTGGTTAAGAGAGCTGGTTCTGTCCTGGGCTGCCCTCTGGACTCCATCGAGGAGGTGGCAGGCAGAAGGATGCTGGTAAAACTAACATCCATCATGCATAACCCCTCCCATCCCCTGTACCATACAGTAGAGGCTCTGAACAGTTCTTTCAGCACAAGACTGCTACATCCCCAGTGCAAGAAGGCACGTTACTGTAGGTCATTCCTCCCCACAGCTATCAGACTGTACAATACATCACTCGGACAGAAGGATGCTGGCAAAACTAACACCCATCATGCATGACTCCTCCCATCCCCTGCACCACACAGTGGTGGCTCTGAACAGTTCTTTTAGCACGAGACTGTTACACCCCCATTGTAAGAAGGAGCGTTACCGCAGGTCATTCCTCCCCACAGCAATCAGACTGTACAATACATCACTGCAGTGATAAGCTAGGTGAAATTATGAGGGACTATGTAACAGTCAACTGAGGTGCAATACTGAAATTCTGGGGGTAAAATGCATTGTAAATATGCACAAGTGTAAAATCTTGTCCTTGATTTCTCTTGAATACTTTATATTGTCTTGTTTTAGGTATTTTTGAGTAGTTTTTCAGAGATCCTCATGGCTGAAATACAGGTATTTACCCCATTGCGAGATTAATTATGGGAGTTATATTCTTGTACTTGATTTCTTGATCTCTTGAATACTATATTTTGTCTTGTTCTTAGGTATTTTGATTTGTTCTCAGAGATTAATTGTGGGAGGATCATTCTTGTTCTTGATTGTCTCTCAAATACTATATTCTGTTTGGTTTTAGGTACTTGGAATTTGTTTCTCAAGATATGTGTGTGATCACTGGGACTGAACTGCCTGCTATGGACACACTGTACACACAGCGCTGTTGTAAAAGGGCAGAGAACATAATCAGGGATCCACGCCACCCAGTTCACACTCTGCTCAGACACAAAAATTGCACCTACAGCCTCAGGCACAGCAAAGCGGACAGTATCATCACACACAGAACAAGACTTTACAACAGCTTTTTCCCTGCCACAGTAATACTGATGGCAAATATGAAAATGTGAGAATATACTGTATGGGCAATAACCCCTCACTAGACATGCACAATAATAATACAGAAATGTTGCACAAGGTATTTTTTAAGAGCATCTCATCAAGAGGGTTCTCTTATGGGACCTAAGTAATAGCAGGACATTCTCTACCAAGCAATGGAAACAACCCTGAATATTAATTGTGTTTTAGTATGTTATAACCCCTCACTACCTCACTAAGTGTAATGACATATCCAACTTCACTATGTGAATTACTAAGTGCGATGTTTGAAGTTCACTATTTTTGTGTATTGCAGTTTTAATGCTTTGTCGCCTTTATGTAACTTTTTTTTTATTCTAAGACTAAGTGTTCTTTCTGGCTTTTGACTCTTTACCTGACTCCAAAGGACAGCTGCACAAGAATTCCTATATGCCTAGACTGTCTGTTTATGCATAAATGGCAAATAAAAATCTTGACTTGACTTGAATCGGACCAGTGAAGTTGTAGACTACTAAACTAGGGCAATGATTTTAAAGAGGCTAAAATGTAAAAGTTGAGAGCAACTGCAGACTCAGGTTATATTTATATGTAAGTTTATCATCCCAAGTGACCCCTTTTACGTACACATAATAGAGTGTTGACTATAGCAGTGTTAAAGGAAAATACCAGCTAAATTTTTAGACAGGAGAGTTGCTGTAGACTTTTTTGGAGAAAAACCCAGTGTACTGCTTTACAGGTCAAGAAACACCACAAAAACTTATTTTACATGTCCAGCTTCAATTCCACCACTTTACTGGCAAATGCTCAGTTTATGCATTTTGTGCCTCCAACTTAATTCCTGTGGACTGACTTCTGGGTCAAAGAAGAGGCCATATGGTAACACCCTCTTCAAGACAGGCAGTCTTGAGATTTCTGCAAAATATGGTCTTAATTTGAGATATAAAAATTCTATACACTGAACCAACCATGCAGCTGTTGCTCAATTTTCCACAAACAAGTGTAAAAATCACCCAATGACATGAGATAAACCTTTTCCAAATTGTTGTTTAGAATCAGAAGTCAGTACTTTTATACTATACTAAAACATGTAAGTCAGTAACCACCATCACCACCGACCAGCCCAGGAGTGACCCAGCCTACGCAGCTCAGCCCAGCTCTCCATCTCCTCACCTCCTGCGGTTGGTCAAACACCCGGTTACAACTCATCTACAGGACTACGTATCATTTCCCTCTGTGTTTTTGTCATTCCTTTGTTCGCTGTATATAATAATTCATTGTATGCAACGAAGACAGCTACCTGGGTCTGCCTCTTTCCTCGTTCGCACACTGACTGGTGTGAACGGATCCTAACACATGTGCAATAACCCCTCACTACCTCACCAAGCGTAATGCCATATCCAACCCCACCATGTGAATTACTAAGTGTGATGTTTGAAGTTCACTGTGGGAAATACTATTACCCTATTGTTGTGTAATATATTTTTTTATTTTATCTATTTTAACACTTTGTCGCCCTTATGGAACTTTTTTTATTTTAAGACTAAGTGTTCTTTCTGGCTTTTGACTCCAAAGGAGAGCTGCACAAGAATTCCTATATGCCTAGACTGTCTGTTTATGCATAAATGGCAAATAAAAAATCTTGAATCTTGAACCATGATGTTAATTGTCTTAGTTATGCAGTGGCTTCCATATAAATCCTTATATTCACTTGGAACTTGGAACTCCAAGATTTTCATGCATGATTTTTTCTGACAGCATTCATGAGCCTTAAAGACATTTGAGTGCACAGACCTCATGGTTGGGAAGGTTATTGGGTTGAGAAAGTCATTAAGTCACAAGCCTTCTAATTACAGCAGTGTCAGTCAGTTAAATGACATTACAGCCTTGCACCTTTCTCTGAATTTGTATGAAAACTCCAACAATATTAAACAACAGTGTAGAACTGACAATCTTTCAGGACACAGAAATTACGCCACTG